TTCAGGGCCAAAAAGATTGGGGGGCTTCTGCCAAGCCCTACCAGTTGAAATGTTGGCCAGCTCGGACCAGGTAGGGGGTGGGAGCTGTCCTTGGTGCTGAAGTCCAGCCTCTCCGGCCTCTCAAGTGGTTGTGAAGATCTCAGGGAAAAGAGGGTCCGGTTAACCAGGCCTTGGGCGTAGGACACTGGTACCGCATTCCAGTGCTCGTATTCCAGTGTGACCCTGCTGCAGCCTCACAGCATGGTTGTACCACCTTCTGGATCTTTGGAATCTTCACAATACAAGAACTCGTGGGCACTCAATGGAATTGCTGAGCAGTCGGGTTAGAACGGATAAAAGGAAGTCCTTCTTCACCCAAAGAGTGATTAACACATGGAATTCACTGCCACAGGAAGTGGTGGCATCTACAAGCATGGACGGCTTCAAGAGGGAATTAGATAAGCATATGGAGCAGAGGTCCATCAGTGGCTATTAGCCACAAGGTATAGATAGGGATTCTGGGGCAAGTGATTCTCTGTCTTCTTGGTGCTTGGAGGGGTGAACAGTGGGAGGGCTTTGAGTGTCCTGGCCCCACTGGTGGACCTCCTGATGGCACCTGGTATTTTTGGCCACTGTGTGACAGAGTGACTAATTCCTGCACTGAGGAAGGGGGTTGGAGTAGGTGACCTCTAGGACCCCCTCTATCTCTGTATCAAGAAACTGGCCTCCTTTAAGAGAGGTTTTTCTGCCTGTTAGCTTTCTTGAGTATAGAAGTCATCACCACCCCCACCTGCCAGCTTGTTCTCAGAATTGTCGCTTAGGCTGGCGGATGTGATGAACTTGCAGCAGCTGAGAACTGTCATCTCAAGTGGCTGACAGCTTGCAGTTTGGAGATCTATCCTGGTCACAGCTCTCTATTGACGAAATGGCTTTTCTTTCTGCACTGAGAACTTCAGCCCCACCAGAAAAAATAATGGTTGAAGGCAGTGCAGGCAGGTGTCAGCCTTGGCAGTGAGAAGTCTCGCATGTAGGCAGAGTAAGGGCACGTGGGCAGGCGGGAGGCATGGTGGCGGGTGGAAAGGAAGGAGGGTGTGAGTCTGCGGCGGGTGGTGGGCAGGGGAGGGGTGCCCTGCCTGCCCCCCCAAACTTGAAACCACTCCTCCCTCC